AGGTAGACTGTAGAAGATAGATGCATTTGAATTGTGGTGCTGGACAATCGTGAAAGTACCATAGAATACTTGCTAAGAGGAGAAACGGATCTATATTGGAAATAAGGCCAGAGTGCTCCTTAGAGGCAAGAACAACAAAACTTCATCTAACATACTTTGGACATAACGTCAAGAGAAACCAGTCCCTGGAGAACACCCTGTTTGGTAATGTGCAGGGATGGTGAGAGAGGATGACCCTTGATGAGATGGATTGACAGAGGCTGCTTCAATGGGCTTGGGCATAGGAACAATTCTGAGGATGGCGCAAAAACATGCAGTGTTTCCTTGTGCATAGGGTTGCTATGGGTCACAGCCGACTCGATGGCACCTAACAATAACAAACAGACTAAATGCCAGGAGCCCTGGTGGTGTAGTAGATTATGTGTGGGGCTGCAATTTGAAACCACCAGCTGATTAGGCTTTCTACTCTTACGAGGATTCACAGTATTAGAAACCCAAAGGGACAGTTATATGGAATTGACTTGATGTCATTTGGTTTAGTTATACTAAATGGCACTGAACTGTTGGCCTTAAAATGGTTAACTTTGTTATGTGAACATCACCTCAGTGAAAGGAAAATCATCAAAAATATGTGTATGTATACCAACAAGAAAAAGTACTCACGCCCAATAAAATGATAAAAAAAAGAAAAAGTACTCACGATGAAATCTTACTAAAGTTGTTCACAATATTTATAATTATAAATTTTATTGAAATAAAAAGAACTATACCATTTTTACACAGAACTTTATTATAGATATAAATTATCCCCAGAGTAAAATACAACTATACCCAATACTATCAAATTCTCGAAAGATTAGCTTCTGCATTAGACAGGTAAAATTATTTCTTTGAATCTTTAAATTGTCAACACAAAATTTTCCATAAGGTATAAAAAATGTTATACTAAGCACTAATGCATAACCCAACTTAAATATCTTTAAATTGCTTTTATAATTGAAGCCTCTTCTAGTATATTTATCACATCTTTTTTCTTCCTCCCAAGAAGACAATTGCTTTCCTAAATCCTGAATTTCATGTTTATTATTCATATCTCTTTACGATTTTATTATATCCAGATATATCGCTTAACAATTTATAGCACTGAACTGGTTCTTGAGCAGCTAGTTTGAGCTAAGCAGGGTGGGGGTGGGGTGTTGTGTGTGTGTGTGTGTGTGTGTGTGTCTCAGTCCTAATAGAATGGAGTATCTTTGCTCCCCTACAGATCTTAGCATTTAGCCCAGAGGCAGATAGTACTGCACAGTTTTCTCACAGGGATCCACATGTGAGATACACAGGTCAAAGTTCTTTTCATAAGAAAGCTAGTAAGACTTTACTTGTCCTTTTCACTGTGTTGACATTTGTACTGCAGGTAACAAAGCAAAGTTGAGTAAATTGGCTTGGTGCCTTAAGTCAAGGGAGTGTCAACAAACTGAATTAGATGTCACTGTTTTCTTCATAGCTGTTAAGTTTTAAAAACAACTATAAGGATACAAGTCAGCTTCACTAACAATGTCCTTGATGCAATAAAAATTAATTTAAATAAATCTCAAATATATACCTATTTTTAATAGTCTGTATGACAAAAAGGGGAGTCATTGCAGGCTCCTACCTCATAGTATGGCTGTTGAAAGGAAAAATTCTGATTTATCTTAATTATGAATTGAACAAGCCACATTTTTTTTCCCCACGAAACCACCATTTTTGCTTGAGAAACTGGCCAACTGTTAATTAGGTTGAGGTGTTTGGCATACTTTTTTTAAATAAACAAAAGTGAGCTTTCACCTCAAAAGAAACTGACAATATTTGTTGCCATGGCAACTCTAATTGTTGCTTAAAAACATACATTTTGGAAAATGCTTATCTACTACACTGAGTTTATCCACTTGTCAACTTACAGACTTCAGTGATGCACTCAATGAATCTAACAGATGTGGTTTTTGATACTATATAATAAACACCACATCAATATTTGGGTTATCTGCATAACTCAATGACCCATTATTTCTCAAATTATTAGTGCACAATGTTACAAAATTACACATATATAAAAAAGTCAAAGTACTAGACCAGTACATTGAGCTTATTTACAATTTAAGCTTAAATTACATATACAGAAAGTTCAATGATATGGTTCAAGACTGCATTACAACCAGCCTTCAGAAACTACTACTTTGGGGTAGACTATGCAAAATTATCTGAAAAGACTATGTAAAAACAGATTCTTCCCTTATTCAACATGTCTGTGTTAAGATATTTTCTTCATATACTTCAACCAAACAGCACAGCCTAACAGGCTGTAGCCACAGCTCTGAGCTCCAATTGCACTCATGAAAAAGAATGTCACACTTCTCTCTCATCAATACTCTAATTTTGGAAGAGTAAAACAAGTATATTACTGTTTTAAATTGATTAAAATGTATTTTAAAATTTCTCAGCTTTTAATTTCTCAGGATTGATGCAGCCCACATAAATAGAACGCCCTTTCGAGTCTTCAATCACATAAAAGTACATAGTGTCTGTCCTGAAATAAAAAACAAAACACAAGAACTACAGCTATAAATCAATGAGAATAACAAAATAAACAAAATTGATTAACTTCCAAGACAAGTCTCACAAAGGAAAACTTGTTGGCTTGGGAAGCTGTAGGTTAAATATATTTGAGTTGTTTTCCTTGGGGAACAGAGGGGGCGGAGGGGAGGTTGAGAAGGCAACAATCAGGAAAATGGAATTATTTCAATGTGCCCTAGAAAGAGACAAGTAGCATCCTTAAGTAGAAATGTGGGTGACAGAATTGGCTGGGGAAGCTAAAGTTGGACAGAAAACTTAGTCTCTGGATTACGTTTCAGCTTATTTTATAAAGTCATCCACGAGTTCTGAACCTAAGTAAACTTTTTTATAGTGCATGTCCTGTGTTAAGACTTCCATACACCTAGAAAACATTTTTTAAATGTTATTGCTAAACTTAAAGTCAGATTTGGTTTACTCAAATTTTGAAGATGGAGTCCATGGTTTAGCAAGCATTAACATTTGTCTGGGGTCTAAGGCTCTAAACTGTGAATCACGGGGGTGAAAATTTGATGTGAAGTATGCGTATGTGAAAAATATACACATTCACATCACTGCCCCAGAGTTATTTTAAAAAATCAACTAGCTGCACATGTTTGTATTTTTCAATCCTAAAAAGTTTAACATGGCAAATTCAAGTTGCTTCAGGTGACTACCAAACAGAAAATGAGGATGAGGTCTCTAAGTAATTCTGTGTCTAATTAACCTCTGTCGCATTGCCCGGTTGTCTACTTCCAGTTACCCTGCAGTCAGTGAAGTGATATATTTCTAGAATATACTGCAGTGCTTTCAGCTCAACCCCGCCTACACAAAAACAAAACACATTCATAAAAGAGGCCTCGGGGATTGGATGAGGAATGCCTACAACAGCAAGCTGACTGGATGGTTTATGAGTCAATCAAACAATTCTTGGCAGAAAGCCAGGCAAATGGAAAACAAACAGCCTTTGAAAGAAGCTTGTCTATAATACTGACAATAGCTTTCCCAAAGTGTTGTGAAGCTGACAAATCTTTTGACACCCTTTTCTGTTTCTAACCCTCAGCAGGAAATAAAACGTTATTATACTACCATAAGGAAGAGTTTTTCTGTTTTAATGTCAGATCATATTATGCTTTTTCTATTCAAAATTTGCAGCCATTTAATCACCAAAATGAATAAACGACTATAGTCCTGTATGATAGCATGCTGGGTACAAAAGCAATGGCTGCTTTTGAAAATACTTAAATTTTTGATGAAATCACCACGGCAGGATCTCTGGGAGACTCTTGACCGAGTTTTTAGAAATGACGGGCCCTATGCCCTTATAAGGAGCCCTGGTGGGGTAGTGCGCTGGGCTGTTTCACTACAAGGTCAGCCGCTCAAAGGAGCCGTCGCTGTGCGGGAGGCAGACGGAACCTTGGAAACTGCGGCGCAGCGCTACCCTGTCCTACGGGGACGCTCTGAGTCACAACAGACAACAGCAAATGAGTTTGTGTTTCATTCACTTACACGGTTGCTATGAGCCGGCATCAGTTCGATGTTAGTTAAGTTGGGGGTTTTCATATTTGGGGGAGGGGGAGGTCTTCCTTTTAGCATGTCAGTAAATTCGTTTCCCTTTGCTACTTTGATAGTCATTTATAAGTTCTTTTAAATAAGAATTGTTGAGAGCTATCTGGCTAAAGCAACTACTAAAAAAAAAGAAATTGCACTTTTAAAAAGCCCGAGATGAATTTCATGCCTATCCCTCACATGGGACTAATTTGAGAGAGAACACGCTCGCGCGGTTCCTTTATGCAGTACACGCATAAAGAGCCCCCCATCAGGGACTGTCAGCGCCACGGAAGTCTTCCCAAGACCTGAAGCTGTTGGGGCGATGACCTTTCATAGTTCCTCGTGGGGTGGTGACCCCCAACCATAACATGCTTTTCGTGCTACTTCATCACTGTCCCTTTGCGACTGTGACGAATCGGGCGACCCCAGTGAGAGGGCCGTTCGACTCCCCAAGGGGTCGCGACCCACGGGTGGAGAACCGCTGCCTTCCAGCCCCTCTCATTTCGCTGACTCGATGTACTCCGCCGAGCAGCCACCACCCCGGGTCCACGCGGGGCGCGGACGCCGCCCGCAGGAGGCCAGGGAGAGGGGCAAACCCTTCGGGCGCGGAATGACAGCCTGGAAGGGCAGCCTCTGGCTCTTCGGCCGCCTCCGCGCAGCCGGGGTAACAAGGTCTCGGAACGCTCCTTCGGATAGACTCCGCGCCAGGGCAGCCATCCTCTCTCCCAAAGCCAATTTATTTGCCCCGATCTCCACCTCGGGCACCGCCATTCGTCCCAGGGGGGGCCCCCCGCGATGCGGGCGGGCGCGGAAAGCCCAGAACTGTAAGAAAGAGGCGGGTGCCAACCAGCCGGGGCACTTACCCAGCTTCTTCCACATGGCTAGGTGACAGGCGAGGAAGCCCTTGCGGATGGCAGCGCACACCTTGGCCGGCTCGGATGAGGTGAAGCCCTTCTGTTTCTTGATGAAAGCCCACAAGTGCTCCCGGGCAAACTGTGCCGCCTCCCGCCCGCCGTGCCCGTCGCACACGGCAAAAAATGCCACTGAGGACCGGCGGCGGCAGCAGCGGCTAGGAGCCGCCGAGGGCCCGGGGTCCGCGGGCGAATTCCGGGCTTCTGGGGCGGCCCCCGCCGGGCCTCTGGCCGAGACTTCGCTGCCGGGGAGAGCGGACGCCGGTGGTGATGGCTGCGGCGGCGGCGGCGGCTGAGAAGGCGGTCGCCTCAGCGAGGACTTCTCGTCGGCCGTCGACTCGGGCTCCACGACGATGTGAGTAACGTCCTCCATGTACTTCCTCCCGCCCTGGTCCGAGAAGACGCTCACTCCCAGCGAGTACAACCCCGCCATGGCCGGCCGGCCGGCCGGAATCCCGCCGGTTCCTCGCTGCCCGCCGAATCCTGCGGCGGGAGACCCTCTCGGCGCCGGCCGGCGAACTATTGTTTCTCTTCGACGACGCCGAAAGGGGAGCGGGGGCGGTCCCGAAGGTGGGGCGCGCGATGTCGGGACTTGTCCGCGAGCGAAGGGCCGGGGAGGTAGGACGAGCGGGCCGAGCAACTGCGCCTGCGCACTGCGCTCCCTCCGCCAGCCCGCGCCTACCGCACAATTCAGGCGTTCTCCCCGGCTGTCGTCACTCGGCTCGCTCGGCCCGACCAATCGCAGTCGAATTCGAGCGGCCCCGCCCCCGCCCCCGCCCCGGCCCTTCGCTGCTCCTGGCAACGGCTCCGCTCCCCCTCCCCCGGCGGGCTCTGGGCCCGCGCTCAAGCTCATTCACCGTAGCGCGCTGGGCTCCAGCTTCCCGCGTTCAGCGGAGGCGGGCCTGTTACCGAGCGACCGGAGCTGTCACGTTTCCGCCCCGGTCCCTAGGATCGTACCGCTACCGGTCACCTTTCCCGCCGCGCTGCTCCCCGACAGAATAAAGCGGTGTGGGCTCGGGCCGCCCACATGTGGAGAGAAGCTGAAGGGAAAGACTTTAGATATTCTTCAGGGAAATGGCGGGAAACGTCCCTCCGTCGGAACGTTGTTTGTGAACTGACTTGGAAAAACACGGGACCGCATGGTTGAGCTGGACTTGGGTGGGACGTTTTCTAGTGGGAAGTGGGAGGAAATGCAGTTTTGTGAAAACTTGGGGAATTTCCATCGTCCACCGTACGCTCTCACTTCACATAACTAACGAGGTCTGTCACAGACCAGAGGTTTGGGTTTTAACTGTGCTGACAGATCTTTTCTAAACGTAGTACAGGCAATCCCCAGCCTAAGAGATTCATTCCTAAAATCTGTAGATAAATTGTTAGGTGTATTAACCAAAAAAACCCTGCCATCGAGTAGATTCTGTCTGTCTTTAGGTACGTTCCCACTGAGCGACTGCAACACTGCTGGATCCTGGGCCATTCTCACAATCATTACATTGGAGCCCATTGTTGCAGCCACTATGTCAGTGTAGCGCCTACAGCAGTGGTTCTCAACCTGCGGGTCATGACCCCTGTGGGGGGGGTCAAACGACCCTTTCACAGAGGTAGCCCGATTTATAACAGTAGCAAAATTACAGTTACGAAGTAGCAACGGAAATAATTTTATGGTTTCTGGGTCGCCACAGCATGTGGAACTGTATTAAAAGGTTGCAGCATTAGGAAGGTTGAGAACCACTGAGGATTTTCTTCTTTTTGTCTGACCTTCTGCTTTACCAAACATGATGTCCTTTTCCGGGGACTGAAGTCTCCTGATAACATATACACAGTATGGTGAAAAGTCTCACCAACCTCCCTTATAAGGAGCACTCTGGCTGCACTTCTAAGGCTGATTTGTATCTAGTTCTGGCAGTCCATGGGGCTTTGAATGTTCTTCTCCAGCACCATCATTTAAATGCATCAATTCTGTTCCAGTCTGCCTTATTCAGTGTCTAACTTTCACATGCAAATGAGGCCATTGAAAATACTATGGGGAGAGTCAGGTGCACCATAACCCTCAAAGTGATATCCTTGTTCAATATATTTTTTTTTTTTCCTTGTTCAATATTTTAAAGAGATCTTGTGGCAGCAGATTTGGCCAGTGCAATATTTCCTTTTTAATCATTTTATTGGGGGCTCATACAACGCTTCTCACAATCCATATATCCATCCATTGTGTCCAGCACAGTGCAATATTTCTTAACTGCTGCTTCCACAATGATTGATTGTGGATCCAAAAGATATTTTGTAGGGTTTCGGAGGTTGTAAATCTTTACTGAAGCAGATAGCATCCTTTGAGCTGTTTTTTGCTCCCATGAGCTGTTGGTAGATTTGAACTGTAGGCCTTGCAGTTATCAGGTAACACTTTAATGCTTAACCAACAGTGCTACCAGGCCTCCTTTTAATCTTACTTTCGTGCAAGAAAAGATCTCTAGTGGTGCTGTCAGGTAAGCATTGAACTACTAAATTCAAAGTCAGTAATTCAAACCCACCAGCTGTTCCGCAGCCTCAGAAACCCTCCTGTATTGTTAAGAATTAGAATAAAAAGAGTGGATTTGTTTGTTTTTTTAGTGCAACAAGAAGGCCTGGTGTAGTGAGTTAAGTATTGAGTGACTATAACTGAAAGGTGAACAGTTCAAACCCAAATGTTGTTCCATAGTCTTCGAAACCCTATGGAATAGTTCTGGTCCGTCTTATAAGGCCACTATGAGTCTGAACTCATGGGTTTGAGACTTTTTAGGGATGTAGTGCAAGAAGAAGTCTTGGTGATGCAGTGGTTAAGCACTGACTGCTAACCACTTGGGATGTGGTGTTCTGCTTCAGTAAAAGGTAGCGTCTTGGAAGCCCTCTAGGCTATAGGGTCACTGAATTGGAATCAACTCCACAGCAATAGACTTTGCGTGTGAAGGGGTTGCTTCAATCGTTTCAAAAAGAGCAAATTTGCATGGTGTTTAAGGTCAAGGAGGGAGTTGGGGTTGTCTATAAAGTGCATGTTTGTAACCTGTAGTTTTTCTGACTAGCCTAGATACATTTTATCAAGGATCCCTGGTGGCACAATGGTTTAAGCATTGTGCTGCTAACCTCACAACCTGTGATTCAAACCCACCCACCACTCAGGAGAAAAATGAGGCTGTTCTCACATAAAGATTTAGTCTCAGAAACCCTAAGGAGCAGTTCTCTGTCCTACAGGGTCACTAATTGACTTGAGGGCAAGCTGGGTTTTAGAGCGTGGTATCAGATAACATAAAAATAGCTTTAAAAACCTCCTAACAGCCAGTTGCTTTAATAATTTATTTATCCATCTCTCCTCTTCTTTCAGTTAGTCGCAATCAAAGAACTCAAGCTTTGGCATGGATTTTCATGGGTTAAAAACAGCTTCAACCAGGCAATCATACTGAATGGATAGAGTGGGATCCAATGGAAACTGAAAGCCCATCTGTAGACAATTGGGCATCCCCAATTGACCCCTTCAGGGTCACAAGGAGGGGACGAGTCAGCTAGAGTGCAGTATAGCATCAAGGAAACACACAACATTCCTCTAGTTCTTTAATGCTTCCTCCACCCCACTATCATGACCCCAGTTCTACCTTACAAACCCAGCTAGACCGGAGCATGGGCACTGGTACAGATAAGAACTCTGGACACACAGAATCCAGGACAAATAAACCCCACCAGGAACAGTTATGGGAGTAGTGACAGCAGGAGGGTAGGGAGAAAGGTGGGGGGAGAAGGGGGGGAAAAAAGGAAATTGCAAGGATGGACATATAACTCCTACCCTGCAAGTGGGATGAACAGCAAACGTGGGTGAAGGGAGACAGCGGATGGTGTAAGATATGAAAACTATAATTTATCAAGGGTTCATGATGGGAGAAGGGGAAGGGAAGGTAAAAAGGAGTTGATACCAAGGGCTCAAGTAAAAAGACAATGTTTTTAAAATTATAATGGCAACAAATGTACAAATGTGCTTGACACAGTTGATGTATGGATTGTTGTAAGACCTGTAAGAACCCCTAATAAAACAATTTATTTTAAAAGCTTCAAAAAAATAAAAACAAATTAACTTCACCCAAAAATGACATCCAAATGGCTAACACAGATGAACAAAATACTGGGGTATGCAAATTAATGCAGTGATGAGATATCATCTTGCACCAAAAATGACAACCCAATTAAAAAAAAAAACAGAAAACAAATGAGGGAGAAGGTGAGATATTGGCTCCATTATACACTGCTGGTAGATCTATCAATATAAACAAGCATTTTGGAAAGGAATATGGCAATACTTCAAACAACTAGGATTAGAAATTTCATGCAATCTAACAATACCTCTGCTAGTTACATACCCTAAAGCAGTAAAAGCCAGCACAACCAGACATATGCACTCCCATGTTTATCACAGCATTGCTCACAATAACAAGAAGTTGGAAACAGCCCAAATGCCCTTCAGGAGAAGAATAGATAAAGAAACCTTGGTGTATACTCACAATGGAATACTATGCATTACTTTCAAAAATGAAACAACAAAGCACCATGACAAATCAACGGTTCTCAACCTGTGGGTAGCGACGCCTTTGGGGGTTGAACGACCCTTCAAAGGGGTTGCCCGATTCATAACTAGCAAAATTATAGTTATGAGTAGCAACAAAAATTATGTTTGGGGGGGCTCACCACAACACGAGGAACTGTATGAAAGGGCCGCGGCATTAGGAAGGTTGAAAAACACTGACATAAATGGACCTGGAGACCATTATGCTGAGTGAAATTAGTCAGTCACAAAAGGACAAATGTTATATGAGACCACCAAAGATAAAAACCAAGAAAAAGATTTGCGTACCAAAGGGAACAGACTGTGGAGGTTACCAAGGCAGGGAGGACAAAGGAGAGAAGAAGTAGCAACAGGCTAGAAGTTTGACAGATGCCGATTTGAGCTACAGGGAAGATTAAAGACCACAATTGGAAGAAAAATCAAAGGGGGGGGTTATAAAATGGATCAGGGAGGATTGATGAGTGATTGGATATAGAGTTGAAATGTAACCACTACCATCCTCAATTTATTAGAAAAAGGGGGGGTGGAACAACCTTCAGGGTACACAGGTTAGTATGCACTCCATAGCAAACGTTCTTGTAGTTAATCAGTTTTATGTCAATTTTTTTCAGTTCTCAGTCATCACTTCTCCTATGTGTTTATTGACAAGTACAAAAGTGAGAATGAGGGGGTAGCGGGGAGGGAGGGGAAAAATGAGCTGATACCAAGAGCTCAAGCAGAAAGCAAATGTTTTGAGAATGATGATGGCAACAAATGTACAAATGTGCTTGACAATGGATGGATGGATGGATTGTGAGGAGTTGTACGAGTCCCCAATAAAGTGATTTTTTAATCCATAATTTAAAAAATGAGAATGAGAAAAATGATCATATAAGCAATTGGTGAAAAAGTGGGAAAATATTCTAATGAATAAAAATATAAGTAAGCAGAACCAACCCAAGAAAATATAGAAAATCTGAATAGGTCAATTACCATAAAAGAAATTG